TGAAGTTATTACAGCAGAGTATAAATATTTCCACTCTGTAAAGGACTGTACGGTGTTACAAGTGTAGGCCTACTGCTATTGTAACATATTGTACAGAGATCAGAGATAAATTTGCTTAAAGAATAATACATCAGCTTAGAGACAAAACCTTGCACTTAGCAGAAAACCAGGGAGGAAGTATCTTTCTGCCCAGCTAAGCAGTGTGCCTGTAAGGGAGATTTACCTCTGAACGTGCAGATCTGCCCCTGCATGCCACAAACTATTCAGCAATGTGACACACAGGAAGAGGCAAACCAGGAAATGAGCAATACCCACAAGGCTGATCACCCAGTGAGAACTTTCATACAGAGAATAAAGCCAGAAAGTGAAATCAACACAGTCTGTAGTAACATAATTACATATTCAAATGAGGCATTATCTCCTTAACATAGCATGGTAAAAACATAAGTTAGAGTAGCCCTTCCCACAAGCACAAGATCCTAAAGTCTGGGGAGCAGTGAACCAGAACGAGAAAATACTGTAATGTAGTGTGAGGTACCAATTACTCTCATTAAATGTGGTGTCTTCAAAGCAGCAAATGACCTTATCAGGGTTGCTTACCCACTGCTCTTGTTTCTGCTGGCTTCTCATATATGTTCTGCCGGCAGCTATGTGCTTATGTATATTAATTTTAAAAAATATGTCTATTAATATAGTTATTAAAAGATTTACACATGAAAGAGCACACACATAGTGAAAGAAACATCTGAAAAAAAAAAAAAAAAAAAAGAGAGAGAGAGAGAGAGAGAAAGAGAAAAGAGATTGAGAGAGAGGAAAGGACCACAAATCTTGAGTAATGATCTCAGGCCCAGTAGGAGGTGCTGAGCCAGGCCCTGATTTCCACCAGATTGTAGCATGCAGCGAAAGGCAGCTGCATAGCACTGGTGTCACATATTCATGGCAAAGCACCACCTATTGTGAGAGGTGCAGTTTGAAAGGGCTTCCTTAGCCAAGGCAATTTAAAGTGCACTTCCACGTGAAGTACACGTACAAAACATATCTTCAAATTAGCTGTGTTCAACAAGTACCTTTTTCCTGTTATATTAACCATAGAAAATTTAAGCATGTCTTCACTAGAAAGTAACAGAGGAGGAGTTCATGCAAACCAAATGAGAAGTGGGGCAAGGAAAATCAATTTCTTATCAACTGCAGGGCAAATAACATTAAACAGATTCATATAGCTTCCAATCAGTACCAAATAACAACATGATTCCTACACTGCAGCAATAAAGCACCAAATTTATGATACAGAAGACTTTATCTTGTTTGGGAGAGGCTGTGGAATAGAAGAAATCCCACACAACTTTTGGCTTATCCCTCTAAAGCAGATAGCAGGGGCTTTTCTTATGACATTTCTGATAAGTGTATTTTTTTTATAAAATAGCTAATGCCTTGAGCAAATACAGCAACAGAAAAGAGTAAGAATTATTTTAAATTCTTTGCATAAAGCTGAAAAACCAATTGTGACATGTTAGCTCAAAATAAGAAAGAATTTCAATACACTGCAGATGGCTGGAGCAAAGGGAATATGTGACATAAAATAAACTGTGATGAGATTACAAAGTATATCAGAATAGTTTGATTAATCTCCTGTCTGGGGAGTTTTAAGAAATAGAAACTACAGAAGACTTAAATTAGAAGAATGATAAACATACACTTCAGACTTCTGCTTTCTCTGTTTTTAATGACATGTCTCCATTTTATCCAATGTTTTATTGGAGAAGCATTTTCACATCCTTAAATTATACGTCCCTGGGCAATGTGATATGTGGTGTGTCTCCAGAAAACTGTGATTCTCAGAAAACCCTGACACACTCCTTTTTTAGTTGCAGCTCCTCCTGTTAGAAACATAAAAGTCAGTTTAAGACTTGAGGAGACATAGTGTTTATTCAAAGATCCCTCTGCAGTATTTTTCACTTCTTCCCTACCCAATATGCTGTTGTACCACTTTTCTTGTACTTACCTTTGTGAAGATCTTCTCCAGAAATGGGAAATTTCAGGCTTGCTTCACTCTTGCCCTGCTGCTTCTCTTTCTGTAACAGCCCCATCCGGTATTCGGTACAGAACTGAAAAACCCTTAAAGAGCACTACTCTGCTGTACTCCCTGGATCAGGCACAGGTGGATTGTGCCAAACAGCAGTTGTGACAACAGCAGTCGCGACCAGCATGGGAGTAGGCCACCAGCTGCCCTGCACCTACCTGTAATAACTCTCTCTGGCTGGCTGTGCCACCAGGGTGAGACACCAGTTGCAAAGTGTTCAGTCTAGGATACACAGCAATATCCATATCCTGGTCTCCACACAGAGTAAGTCCAAATGCATGGCCCAACTGCTTGGCACTCCAAAATGTCCCCAGTTTGCCTAGTCAGACTCTAACAAGTAACTAAGGATGAAATTTCAAGTAAGAATAAGCCTAAAGGAGTTGATCAAGGAACAGTCTCAGCTAGATATTCTAATTGACTGAGCAGTATGCATAGATCCTATTAAAGCCATAAGTCTCTGTGCTAATGCGAGAGTGTGGGTATTTGAAAATCAAATGTCTTTAAGTCTGAAGAAATGCTTAAAGCTGGAACATCAGCTCCGTGTTGCTCTGAGCCTGAGTAAACACACAGTGGGGGGGCAGACCTTAGTGGTGACTGGAGAAACTTTAGCAAGAACACCACTGGTTTGTTCCCACTAGGTAAAAAGTATGTATTTTTTTATTATTTCCTAGTAGCTAAAACACATAAAAAATCATAGATGAAATCAGTTTTCCAAAGATTACGAGCATGAAGTAAACATAATCTCTCCACCTGGACCACCATATGCGTCTTTTTAATATAACTCAGTTACATCCTGTCAACATCTGGATATTACCACATAATAATGACTTCTTTTTACTTCACAGATGGGAAGAACATGCTTTGTATCTTAGCGAATATGTAGGATAAGCTCTAGGCCTTACATAGTCAAAGCAGAACTTGGTGAAAAGTAGTGGTGGGAAGCCATTCCTGTAGAAGGCTATACAGAGCACGGTGCACCCTGACCTCCTCTGCCTGAAATATAATGTAGATTCCTGAATTCAGCCAGCAATATCGATTGACACAAGCTGGAAGCAACAGCAGTTACCTCATGTGTCCACTTACAGTGAATTAAATGATATGAATAAACATTGTGGCCAATAAAGATCCAGTCTTAATGTTTGAATTCTGCTTATATTGTAGAATTAGCACTGTTTCTTCCATAGCTTTCCACTACATCAACATCTCCTTTTGTTTTAATTAGCACACAGAAGACAACACCTCAAGGATTCCAAACAAATGAGTATGCTGATGCCCAGCTTCAAGAGATTGTCAGAAAAATGCGGGAAAGGGCCACAGTCTATAAGGAAAAGCTGAAAGACCCTGTGCTGTCCTCCCCTGAAGGCAGTCCTACAGCTTGTAAGTGACTCTAGAATATATGAAATAGCTGTGTATCAGTTGAGTTTAAAGATGAAGATTATTTTGTGGGAACAGAAAATGCTGTGATAACATTTTTTGGTAAGTATAGAAAACTTCACATGTTTACCCATTGAAATGAATCACTTTGTGCCCACTGGAGTCAAGCCACCTGTAATAGTTTACAGTAAGCCTGGTCCTTAGGTACAAAATCCCTTTAAACCCCATCACTGAAACATCTATGGGGAAAATCTTGGGCAATCAAGTCTAGAAACATGTCTGTCAAGCAGTTTTAGATACTTTAAATTATATCCTAGATACCTTTATTCATTGGGATGAATCTGAAACATATGAGGAAACATATCTATCTTACAAGTAAATATAGGTCAATCTGAGATTAGATCTGTTATGTAAAAGTAAATAAAATTTTAGCCATGGCAGCAAACTTCCAGACACACTGAGGACTCTATGTGTGTGTTTCAAGTAGAGCAAACTCATCTGAAATTCATTAAATATTGACTTTTGATAAAATATGAAACATCAAACAAATACAATGTTGTTACTCTTTATAGGAAAGTTTTACTTCATTTCTTTTTCACAAAGAATTGAGTGTGGTGATTTGATATTCTGCCATTTAGAGAAGCTGTTTAGTGTTTAGCCATTTTTTAATAAAATAGAAAAAAACAGAGCTTGACATCTTATAAACTGTACCAGCTAATAAAGTAATTCCTTTTTTTTTTTTTTTAATAATACTTTGCTCATTTACCTCTTTTGTCCTATTTGTAAAACTTACAATCATTTCTCAAATTACCATAGTTCCATTTCATCAATTTGCTGCTAAGACTGTGTATCCTATTCAGAGGTAAAGCCACCAGAATTAATGGGACAAAAAGTTATCCAAGATAAAGATGGAAGAACAGGGCTCAAAGGCTTCATAAGCATATAAATGTAGAAAACCATAGGCTTCCCATTAGTTTCACCTACTGCATCTTGCATATCGGATCTTAGGTGAGGGGAGTGATCAGCCCATGGCACAGACATCTTTTCTTATCTCCATCCTAACTATGCATTAGTTGCAACAATCATGTTAAGAGAAAAGCCCAGGTGAATTAATGAATGATGAATTATGAATTACCTTTTTTTTTCTTGTCAGTGTTTTATGGCATTGGTTGTGGGCACCAAGGAAATACAGTAACATATATTGCACTCTTTAACATGAAGTGCCCTGTTTGTGATAGCAGGTGTGCATGACTATATCAGCGGTTATTTTATTCCAACCTGTTTTTTAATACACTCAATAGTGTAATGAATTGTAGCTTTAGTCACTTCCAAATGATTTTAGAAGAGTTTTTAACACAATGAAGTTCTTGTATATGTTAATAGAGGGTGTAGTAATTAAACGACTGTTAAAAGGTCACTTGTTGTGATATTCTATTTTCACTAGCACCATCAAAAAAGAAGCCTCCGCCCCCACCAAAAGATGAAAAAAAGGAAGAAAAGAAAGAGGAAGCAGAAGCAAAGCCAGAGGAGGATCACTACTGTGATATGCTCTGCTGTAAATTCAAAAAACCACCACTGAAAAAATACATGACCTATCTACAACTACCAGACAGCATAGACTCATACACAGGTAAATTAAAACTGTGCAATAGAATGGAGTAAAGGCATGCTGAAGTGACTCAGTAGTATATGATAACTACAAGTCACAGCAAGATCCACGTTCCTGTTTACAGTTCAGAGGGATACATAGATCCAGCCCTCAAGAACTTACATTCCAAACAGGAAAAAGCCATGAAAACTGACAACAGTAGTAAGACTATGACAGTGTGATTTTGTTAAGTGTCATGAAGCTGATATATAAAACAACCACAATTAAACCTGATGACTCTTGATCGAGAATTTTTCCCATTCATTAAGGCAAAATAATTATTCTGTCAGTTACACTATGCATCAACAAAACATTTTGAGCTTTTTCAGATACGTTAAATCCTGTATGCTTTCATAAACTTTTCTTTTTCCCTTTTGCTTATTCATTGCGTGATTCCTATTTTCAACCTGTGTGACTTTTATGAGATTGTGTTACTGAAAAAGGGAGAATGAGAGGTTGCTCTGGGAAGAAAGGTTCCCAGAGGCCGCACTAGAATAAGTATATCTAAAAGAATGAAAAAAGATTTTAATTTCATGCCTGGAAATTCATTATTTTGTCTTTCAGATCGACGTTATGTAGCATGGCTCATGCTTGTGACACTGGCCTATAACTGGAATTGCTGGTTTATCCCCCTTCGCTTTGTCTTTCCATATCAAACCCCAAGTAATACAATATATTGGGTTGCCATAGACATCATCTGTGATATCTGCTACCTGTGTGACCTGCTGGTTTTCCAGCCCCGAGTGCAATTTTTAAAAGGTGGAGATATAATAGTAAGTGTTGGAAGTAGGATTTCCACAAATAGTGGGTATGTGTTTATAGAAATTGCTGATACACATTTCCTACTATGTCAAATCTACACAACATTTTATTTATCAAAGTATACCTATATTCTTCTTCATTGACCTACTATTATCCTGTTTTGGAAGAAGGAAACATATCTATTGCCTACATTCTGGACAAGTGAATTCTACGTACAAAAAAAAACTAAAAAGAGAAAAGCAGGTTAGAAAACAACAGATACAAGCAGCCAGAACAGGCATAAAACTCTTTCTTACCAGGAGTAAATTGGTGCAGCTTCCCTGAAACCAGTGATTATATGACTATGTACTCATATGTGTATGTATGCATTTGTATGTTTGTGTGAAACTTTCCACTTTCCATTCACATTGTGCAGGAATCATAGTTGAAGACAGTGCACATTCTGCTACGTATGGACAGAATATAAGCCCTTTGTTACAGATTGTGAGGTTATAATTTTTTGCCTAAATCAGAACAAATCCCAGTAATTTCAAAATTTCAATTTTGAAATTTTCAAATTTCAATTTAAATTTTAAGAAACATTTTATTTGTGTGTGTGTTTTCCTTTGTTTGTTCTTGTTAGTGGTGTTTTGTGTTTTTTGGTTTTTTGTTTGTTTGTTTTTCCTGGGGCTGTATATATATATATGTATATATATATATATATATTGCTGTAGCAAGGTGGGGGTTGGTCTATTCTCCCATGTGCCTGGTGACAGGACGAGGGGAAATGGGCTAAAGTTGTGCCAGGTGTGTTTTAGGTTGGATATTAGGAAGAACTTCTTTACTGAGAGGGTTGTGAGGCATTGGAATGGGCTGCCCAGGGAAGTGGTGGAGTCACCATCCCTGGAGGTCTTTAAAAGACGTTTAGATGTTGAACATAGTGATATGGTTTAGTGGAGCACTTGTTAGTGTTAGGTCAGAGGTTGGACTTGATGATCTTGAGGTCTCTTCCAACCTAGACAATTCTGTGATTCTGTCATATATATATATAATATATATATATATAGTGTGTGTGTGTATATATATACACATAATGTGTATATATATACAATTTTGCTTTTTGCTACTGTTTTATGTTATATTTTTAGAGAACAGCACAAAATAAAACTGTAAGCAAGTGCCTGTAAAAAGGTAAAGTCTTGCCCTTAACATATGAAAAGGACATATAGAACATGCCCTTTTCTTTAAAATCTTCCCTGCTTTTGACTCTTTAAGTTCTTAGAGAAGAAAACCTAATGTGAAAAAAAAAAAAAAGAGTTTAGATAACTTCAGCAGTGACATTATTGTGCCCAACAGACTGAAAATTCAAAATTATATATCCTCAAATGTAATTTGGAACTAGCTTTAGTTCAGTGCTTTTATGTAGAATTTTACACATCCAAGATATTACTAATACCTTTACAGAGGAATCTCAGATAGAACTGTGTAAATATAGTTTGGATAGATATTAAATGCAGTGCAGTGTAATGTATTTTTCTATGCCTAGCCAGTCAAAAAAAAAAACGGTAATCTTGCTGAAATCCTAGAAAACTCAAGTTTTATGAACAAGGTTAAAAATTTAATGTAGGAAGCTTACCTTTTATTTCCCTTGAAACTGTTTGTACAATTCAAAGATTTTAGTGGGTGAAGAAATCATCTACCACCTGATCTCTTGCATTGAGTTTAATGCTTAAAATGATAATAGTGAAAAGTCCTTAAGATTTTAAGGCTATTTTTAAAGTGTCCCTGCTATAAATTCAGTAAGTATAATAATAGATACATTTCTTTAGATACTTGTGATTAGCCTTTCTTATTAAGGTTCTAGCATCAGTTCCTATGGAGAGCAATTTAAAAATAAATAGCTAATCATTACTAATGAATGCAGCGTTGATTATTATTATGCTAATAATGTTAGCAAGTTAATGCCAGCTTTCAATGAGTTAGTTTTGTACAGCACCACCAGAAACATTCTGTTGGAACCATTAAAGTCAAAAGGATCATTTGGCCCCCAAATTGAAGGGTGTTAGGTCAAGGATCAGCCAGTACCAAGACCTCGAGAGGGAAGGTTTGTATGAAAATATAGCATATTTTGTTAGACCAATAGCTCGACTTGGATAAAAAACAGATAAACCCTGGACCTGATTTTTTCAAGCAGGTCTAATAAAATATGGTCTAAGGTAAATTGGTCTAATAAAAATACTACTTCTTCCTACAGATATTTCACCATTCATACTTTTAAACCACTGTTAATATAAATGCTATCATCCTTATTATCAGAAGAGTATTATTACTGTAGAATAGCAGAGCTCATTCTTTGCATGCTGTTCTTGACTATCCCTTTTTCTCCTTTCATCCTCACTGTAGTCGGACAAAGTGGAAATGAAGAAATTCTACCACAGCTCTATGAAGTTTCGGGTAAGTAGGTCCTGTGTTACTAGTGTCACACTGTAGCTTCTAAAACATAATAATTATAAATGCAATTCTAAATAATACTAAATAATAATAATTGAAAAAAAATAAAATTAATAAAATTCTGATTTTGGATGAATTTGTGCAAGGTCATCCCCATACAAACTGAAAGACAACAGCATAGTTTGCCAGGGGTTCATTAGACACAATTAAAAGTTTTAACTAGATGATAACTCTATTCAGTGAACTCTGTGAAGTACCTAATGTTAGTGAATATGCCATTGCTCACATAAGCAAATAAAAACTTGAAGCAACGTTTTTGATGCCCATAGTGCTTTCTAAAATCAAAAGAAAAAATTTATATTTTTTTTAGAATAATTGTTGTGGTTTTTGTTTGTTTGTTTGTTTGTTTTCCCAAAATATTGGATTTACCAGCAGAGGGAAGGTAGTCTGTTGAATTCCTGATACACATGCAGTTCTGTGACACTGAGCCTGCATCTCTGAAAATACATTTTTTGCTCTCTCTTCTGTATATACTTTTGCACCTGTCTTGTTTCAGAGCTAAAATTTGTCTCAGTGATTGGTAGATTGCACTATCTATATGCCTGAAGGTAAGCTATCCAAAAGTGCTTTCAGGATATAAATCCCAAATAAACACTTTAGAGCAAAATTAGCAGAAGGGAGTCAAACTAAACTCAAATGAATGAAATGGATATGTACAGTTTTATTTTAGGTTCACTCTTGAAATATGTTTAGTGCTCTTGATTTCTACGGAAACCAATGGAAGGTGAGTGTTCTCACTACATGCAAGATGTAGACATAAACTGGGAATTAGTCAAATGATTTAAGTACCAATTAACAGTTACTGGTATTAAAGCACTTCTGACTAATCTTTGCCTCCTCTTAGACATGTGTCTGAGAGAGGGAGAGAAGCCATAGAAGGCTGTTTGTCCTCAGTCAAGCTTTTGGCTTGGTTTCCTTTTTTCACAGAGTTCTGGTATTAACTGTATCTTCCTTGCATGGAATTAAAGGGCAGTGTTGCTGCCAAAGTGAGTTGCATCTCTCAGGGCAGAGAAATTTCTGATTACAGTGAGATGAAGCCCGCAGTTCCATGTTTCTCTCGTATTCCCAAATGTTATCAGTAACAGAGGAAAGCATCTCAAGACACAAATCTTTAGGCAAAGCCAAGTTTCCCACAGCATTCCTTCTTTGCACAGTGTTAGTGGAAAGAATAGAGTAAGCAGATAAGTTATCATACAATTGTTGATATGGGAAGTAGAAGCATCCACATATAACAATAACCAACATCTATACATATATATTTTTAAGTTCCTATGATTCATCGATGAATCTTTTGTATGAAACACATGAATTCTGCCAGTTGCAATCAAGGAGTCTAATTCATTGTGATCCCCCAGATTGCTTTAGGCAGCCTGACCTTAAAAGCTGTAGAAGTGCCTATGAAGTGCTTTTTGCACCCCCATTTACCAGCCACATGCCTACCATTTAAATCTTGTCAGAATCATAATTGAAATAACAGAATGTATTAATAGTCAAATATCTGAGATACTGTTAATAATCCCTATGAAACAGAAGAAAATATGCACCAGGGGAGTTTTAGGTTGGATGTTAGGAAGAACTTCTTTACTGAGAGGGTTGTTAGGTATTGGGATGGGCTGCCCAGGGAAGTGGTGGAGTCACCATCCCTGGAATTCTTTAAAAGACATTTAGATGTAGAGCTTAGGGATATGGTTTAGTGGGGACTGTTGGTGTTAGGTCAGAGGTTGGACTCGATGATCTTGAGGTCTCTTCCAACCTAGAAATTCTGTGATTCTGTGATTCTGTGATCAGACACAATGGACTTAAAAGTAGGGCAAAGCAAAGCTCTTGGTGTTTTCAGAGATAATCTTGCCTGCTAGTACTTTGGAAGTTATGGGCATTGCATGCTGACTGTTCAATTTTATACTCAATCATGATTCAATCTAAGTAGTTTTTTGACAGCAAGTAAATGCATTATGATTATTTTGAAATCTCTCTCTCTGCTCTTCAACAGCTTGATGTGATATCAGTATTGCCATTTGAAGTTTTATATATCTTCTTTGGATTTAACCCAGCATTTAGAGCAAATAGAATGCTAAAGGTAAGATCTGTGTTAGCAATAGATGGCAAACCACACATAAATGCTTCTAAATCCCAGTGAAAATATGTTTATAATACTTAGGAATATGGAGCTGAGAAAATGAAAAATATCTTATGGAATCTTCTGAATCTAAGCTACATCAGTATATAAACAGCAAAAAAAAAATATTATCTAGCCAACTGAAGCCATTATTCTCTTATTTTTCTTGTAGCTTTCTTATAATAAAAAAGCTGTTTTGGGATTAATAAAGGTTTGTTTCCATTATTTAAATTAGATTAATCTTAAATAAACTGTTTAGTTTTCAAACATCAAAAATATTCATTTAAGATCACTAATTAATGCCAATGTATTTTCTCCTGCTGTTGGTAATGTCAGGTGCTTATAAGCAAAGGTGGAAATTTTAATGACAACATAAGCTGTACACAGCACATTTAACAAACATGAACCCACTTCTGTTGAGTCCAAAGACATGCAGTGGAGGGGCTGATATGTGGTTAGACAATATCCCTCTCCCTTTATTTCACAATACCTAACAGGCCTCAATATGTTCTCTACACATGAGCACAGTCTGTCTCTGAACTCTCTGTGCTATATGGTAGGCTCTGTAGTATTCCTTTGACCAGTTTAATGGTTAAATGCTACCTCAGAGCCGTATTATTCTTCTCTCTCTTCTTTTGTAAAACTACCTCTGTGTGAATCACCATCAAAATACTGTGTCTGCACAACCAAAACAATTAATGATAGTCACGTATAACAAGGTGAACGTCTTTTCAACTTACAAACCATTTATGAAACTACACTTAATATGGAGCAGCATGTTGACAAAGAAATGGCTTTCATTTAAAGTTGGAAGAAGCAACAAGAACTCTAAGAATTAAATGAGGGTGCTCTTCACTTCAGTCTTCAACAAAACTTCATACTTCCATAAATCAGAACCAAAACAGTATGAAAGAATAAAAAGTTAAACTTTACCTGGTATTAGTCAAACAGATGTGTACTGAACAACAACAAAAATGTATGTGGGAATATTATCATAGAATCATAGAATATCTCAAGTTGGAAGGGGCCCACAAGGATCATCAAGTCCAACTCCTGGGTCCACAGAGAATCACCCAAAAATCAGACCATGTGTCTTAGAGCATTGTCCAAATGCTTCTTGAACTCTGGCAGGTTCAGTGCCGTGACCACTTCCCTAGGGAACCTGTCCCAGTGCCTGACCACCCTCTGGGTGCAGAACCTTTCCCTAACACCCAGCCTGACCCTCCCCTGTCCCAGCTCCATGCTGTTCTCTCGGGTCCTGTCGCTGTCCCCAGAGAGCAGAGCTCAGCGCCTGCCCCTCTGCTCCCCTCACGAGGGAGCTGCAGGCCGCCATGAGGCCTCCCCTCAGCCTGCTCTGCTCTGAGCTGAACAAACCACGATTTGGCTTAGGGCTAAAGGTGAACTAGAAATTATTAACAGGAGGAATTTGATACAGCAGCAATTATTACTATGTAATTGCATATGTGGTTGTTGATACATATGAGCACTTACTGAATAGTTATTGGAATTTCAGAAAAAGAAAAAGTAGAAGTCAATTATCTACATCAGTGTGACCTAAACAGCAAGGTTATCTCTGTAATCAGATTAATGGACACTCAACACCCAAAACAATGTTTTACTCAATTTTTATCTTTGCAGTTCACCTTTAGATAAATGTTTAAAGAAACTCAGACTGCTGAAAAATCCATTATTTTCAAAATGTGTTTGTGAACTAATAACAGTATTACTAGAAAAATGTGTGGTGAAAGATAATGATTGGATGACTTTCACTTATTTTCCATTCAGCATAACACATTCTTTGAGTTTAATGATCGTTTGGAAGCTATTCTGGACAAAGCATACATCTACAGGTATGTGCTTATTAAATCCTTGTAGAATGCACAGCTTGGCACAGAATGCCTTTCATTCAATGTCGTAAGTTGTCAGTGAAGCACTGGACAGTATATATTTGTCGGCACAGTATGGTAGATTTTAACTGTTCAAATTAAGATCTTTTTTAATATCTCTTTGTCTTTATTGTACTCATTAAAATAATAAATGTAAAGCTTTATTCATCTACGAAGTCCTGTTCAGTTCAGCTGGTCTGCTTGAGTGCAAAGGCTACTTTCATGCAAAATATTCACCACACTGAGGCTTCTGTCAAAATTTAACTGATCAGAACAATCAGAAAGAAGTTTCTTCAGTGAAAGAGCTAAAGAACAGCTTCTTTAGGTTCCTAGCAGTGCCAAATCCTCAGTAGCTGTTTATTTGTACTTTATAAAAGTTATGAGCTTGAGCCTATATCAACATTTTTCTTCAAACATGCTCTCACCATGAACCTGGCATATACAGAAACTTGATCCTCCACTACATTGACTAAACTTGGAATGAGAATCAACTCTTTACGGCTCTCAAATAGTGATTATAATTGATATCTACTGCACTGTGTTCCCACCTTCTGTATTCACTAAAAGAATTTTGGTTCCAACTCAGGCAGCCCATGGACATGGGTATGGCAAATTTCATAGGTCCCTCAGCAGTCACTGCTGCATCTAGGACCTGATCAGCCTATCTACTCTATTACCATTATTGCCATTTACTGACAAACATTGTCAACAGCCTTAATTTATCCTGTTCAGTTCTTACACCAACAGATTTCTTTCCCTGTCCCAGTCCGGGGGCAAAATCTTTTTCCTGTGTACTGCTGCATCATAAATACCATCTTATTAAAATACGATTACCAACTTATTTCAGAGAGTATTGCACTTAAATGGTAGTCTTTGTATTCGTACATTGCAAATGAGATATTTTATGTGATTTAGAAATTCAAAAAGGAGGTTGAAACATGATGTTTCATGTTTTCAGATACCTGAGAAATAAAAGACCTTAGAAGTCTGAAAGTTCTACTAAAGTATTTATGAGATTCTGTCCTTCTAAAAGCTTATTTATATGTTACCCTCTCCTTTTACTTACTGAGGAGTTTTCTTTCTTTGTTATGCTTTTTTAAGTCTTGTTGGTACAAAATCAGGCTTCTCTAAACTTCCACAAGGTGAAGAAACTGCTTTTCAGTTTCACAGTGGGCCTGGATGGATTCACTTCTCAAATTCACCTGTTTGCTTTTGTAGGAATAGAGCTAGAAAAAGTTACTGCACCATTATGGCAGATGCCATAAAAAGGCATATATTTCTCTAGGTGCATGCCTATATATATATGCCAACATATATTGTAGCAAGTGCTTCCAGAACCTTTACTGTGGTCTCAAGAGTCCACCTGCATGGATTCAAACAAGTACCCAAGTCCCAGCATGGTCAGTTTTGCAATAGTACTATCTCACATCAGCTATCTGCTGTTCTCAACATCTCGCAACTCTAAACAGAGCTGTCCTGGAAGTGCACCAACATTTCACCGGAGAAGTGATATTCGGTTGCCAGAAACAGTGCAAGTAGGGGGATGGCTCAGTGGCATGGAGTTGCAAAGAGGTCATGCAATGGCACCTGAAGAACAAGCAAAGGAGAACAATACAGAAGCAACCACAGAAACATTATCTCCCATTAGCTTAATTTATAGATCCAAGTTAATTAGACCTCATTAAATTATAACCACCATTAAAATATAACCACCCTCTCAGTTACTATGCACTGTGAAATGCATTGCATTCTGGCTGTAGCAGATGTAGCCATTATGGAACAGCCTCCCTGTGTTTAGGCAAGTCCTATACTTTCCTCCTTATTTATCCTTTGGATACATGAATGTTTGAACAGAGAGCTAAATCCAGGAGATCTTCCTTTTGATCCCCATGCACTGAACAGAGGATATACAATGAGATCATTACTGTATTAAACAGGAAGCCGCTCAGTTCGTAAGTAGTTCATCACCAGTGTTCTTTGAAGAACTGGCCATAAGCATAAGAACCAGGATTAGGAATGATATAACTCCTGCTGTAGCCACTAAATCACACTATTTAGCAGATCTACTGTAGGCTTCCCAGCAAAGCTCTTGCAAAGCATTTCATTTCTGACCTCCGACATTCCTTGGCTTTAGTTCACTGGTTCAGAGCCTATCTTGAACGGCATTTGACAAACACATAATTTTGTACCCTCTAGCCTCATTAATATAGCTTCGTATTTCTGTATATATTCATAGCCAGTAAAAGAGGTGGATTTTGAAGTTCTCAGGACATCATAATTTAAAAAATACTCCTGTGTCAAATACTCAAGGAAAGATATTTATTTGACCTTGGACAAACATCAGAGACAAGCTTTTTTGGCCAGCTATTTTTTTTCAGTCAATACAGGTGGGGAGCTACTTAGTGTATGCTTAGTATATACATTATTGACACAAAAAGCAAAGGGTGCCATATTAAAAGGAGGGAAAACTATACATTTTTAACAGGAATTTAGTCATCTGCAATTTGGAATCTGTTGACTTTTATAGGGTCATTCGAACAACTGGATACTTGCTGTTTATCTTGCACATTAATGCATGCTTGTATTATTGGGCTTCAGACTATGAAGGACTTGGCAGCACTAGATGGGTGTACGATGGCCAAGGAAACATGTAAGTCCTTTTCTCTCACAATTAGTTTTCGTTGATTTTGCTCCTCCCTTCATCCTCTCCCTTTCCCATGACTTTGTTTGCAGGTTATGCCCTACTTTACAAGTGCATAGCTGTTAGCTTGGATAGCTAACTTTTAGAACCATGACTGTTGATTAGCAGCTTTCATTACTAGCACATATTTGGGGAGGGCAGGTGCAGTGAATAATTGTTTTAGTACTTTTAGCTTTTATAGGCTTATGAGTCAGTACTAAGCACTAACTTAATTAAACATTTAGAAAGCAACAAAGATAAATTAAACTCACTGATTACTTATGCACATGGGAACTGTTAGAAGGATGACAGAACAATACCTCAAAGGAATCAGAGGCACCAATCTTTTTCTGCCACACAGCACTGTCATTAAAATGCAACATTTTATTCCCACTTAGCACCATTGTGATTGGTCTAAAAAAAAAATCTACTGACTTTCTCTGATCTTTGGAAAAGATCTCTGATCTCTGGAAAAAGATCTCTGATTTTTGGAAAAGACCTTAACCAGGTGCCAAGGGGTGTCCCCAATAGGAAGGAGTGGATATTGGCACACTTCTCACAAACTCCTTATGACAGAAATGCCATCATTAAGATGAGGGAGAGGAAGCAACAGAAAACAAGCAGTCATATATTCTGGGTGTAGTTATATAAAAACATATCTATTATGTAGATGTATGAAAAAATTTACATTTTTTCAAAGACCACAAAATAGTTAAAGCCCCAGAAGCATAATTTGTTCATTAACTGTGTTATTTGCAAAACTGCATACTGCTGCTAAGATAAAACACCCTTTAAACAACTTTTCATGCTTCTCTTTTAATAGTTTGGAGATGTGCTCTTCTTTTTTGTAATTTTGTCAGACTGCAGAAGTTTGATGTGAAATCACTGTTTTGAAGGGTAAGAAAATAACCTTTAGAGTAAAACACACTTCGTGTAAAGTAGCATTGATTTTAAATAGCTAAGGTTCTCTCTCAAAAAATAAAATAAAATAAAATAACATGGCTGAAGCTTTCACACACCACTAAAATACGCAGCTGGAATCTTATAACCAGACATGCAAGCAGACTCATGGAGCTCAGTGGGACCACTTATGTAAGTAAACTTATAAACAGGTATTTATTCACAGGATCAAGTATTCTAGAAATCTGTCAAGAAAAATGCATAATGAATTTCCTTTATAGCAATTTCAGTTAATGTTATTCTTGGGAATACTTGTCTTGTAATTAAAAAACAAGTTAACTAAGACTAAGCACCTGAAGGCTCTGAGAATAAAGAGCCCGAAAAAAAAAAAAAAAAAAAAAAAAGTCTTCCTGTTTTTCACGGGCAAAATTCAAAATTATTTTACTTTGCATTCATGCAAAAAATTGGTAGAAATTATTTTCTGGCTTGACCACAGACAATACAGTTGTGCCCAGAGGCAATGGTCATGTTTTTTAATGTTTTGTGGTCCCTTTTCTGTGAAGAAGCAAAAAAATTTTGAAAACAATGTCACACTAGTATCAAATGGGATTTATGGCAGAATTTATTATTAACAGTAATAATAAACTGATAAATCATTACACTGAGATGTTGAAATAAAACACACGTAAGAATATATTCATGTATGCTTCTTTAATCCATTAATCTACCTCATCTGACATTAGCATGCAATTATTCTTTTGCTTCTACCTAATTTATACTATATAAAATCCCAGGTACATGGAAACTCAAGCAGTATCCCAAGTTGAGCTGCATCTCATAAAGTATAACCTGTTATCCTCCTAACAGTAAATGGCTTTTGTATAGGATAGTCATCAAATCAAAGACTAAGGCAAGACATACCTATTTGTCAAATATTTGGAAATTTTTGACAGAGAGTCATAGTATGAACAACAGTTATTATTGGAGATGCAGTTTGAAATTAAACATGCCAGAAAATATACTTCAAGGTATATATTTTTCTTTGTTCTTGGTTGTTCCTGTTTTCCAATCTGAGAAAAATATATCAGAATAAGTGACCAGAACTGAAGTATATATTATGGTAGAGCAATAATTTCCTTTCACACAGCAGTGAGAGGGGCAGATATTTGAAGTAAAATATTGTTCTCATCTAGAATGGGAATGTGTTCAGAAAGAAGATAAAACAAACATGGCTTCTTAACTAATTAAAAAAAGTCAGACAGCATTTTGACATATGAAACAAAACTGTAGCAGTCTCCAATTACACTGACTCAAAGCAAGTGAACTGGCATTGATTTAATGGCATTAAGGTTTTATGTAGAATCCCTGCTGTGTCCATAAAATATTGCTAGTGATGTCCAAACCCAGTTCTTAAAAATGTCAACACTTTAGGATCATGTTTTTCCCTTTCCCAGGCTAAAAAGAACACACAGGCAAGAGTTTCCCTCATCAGTTTGATTATACGTATTCCTGAGCAAGAATACAAACTAGTGAGGTCCAATTTATAACAGCTGTAGCACGGCATTCAAACCACAAGTCAAATTATCAAAGCAGCAATTCTTCCAAACTTCTGTTAGATGTATTCTTTTCCAGTCTGTGTCCAGACTCTGAAATGTTAGCGCCAGTCCAAAAAAAAAAAAAAAAAAAAAAAAAATTATCCACCCAAGGTGTTCCCAGCATTAAAACTGCTCTTGATGAATTTCCCATAATTATGTAGATAGACCTCAGTCCCTCCTAATGCAGGAGGGTAGCATCACAGATGCAAAAACATAGCACAGAGCTTATGTGACCAGAGCAGCAGGATATTGAGAAGGTCTCTTAATTCTAGCTAAGTGAACAATTTGAACCATATGTGTTTATTTTCAGTCTAGTTTAACTACGTAAGTAAGAGGTTGGTTTAATTCCTTGAGAAAATGGACAAATCCTCTAGAAAGTGATTAAAGGCAGGAACCTAGTGTCATGGTTTTGAATTGTCCCCTGGAAGTATCCATCTCACTGCCTATAAGGGAAAGTAAACCTAAGGAGCTAAAATTCTCATGCAGCCCCCCAGTTCAACAATAAAGTTGGGCAAAAAATTGTTCCACTTATCTCATGGTATATCTTTTCTGCTGTTTGCAAGCCGTCTACAAGTAGGCTGCAAAATTCTCTAGCATATTTACTAATCAAAACATCCATTTGTATCCTAATGAATTTTCTCTATGGCTTGCTGCCTTCCTGCTCTGGGTACAGACGTAGTGGATATTTGGAAATCCCAGAAAATGATCACTGTGTGAGTCTAGAACAATTCAACTTCATTGGTTTACAACGACCAATATGCAGTAAGAATGGCATATCTTTAAAGATGTTGCATATGTGCATATCACCTATATGCTGTACTTCCAAATAGGTCTGATGTGTCACACCCACAGAGCTTGCTACAGAGGCAGTTTTGTGCCTCCAAACAAACTGAATACACAGCTGTGGTGGTCTCACCATGATGGGCAGCTGAACTCCACAGCCACTCTCACACTCCTCCTTCTCAAAGGGAAAGCGGGAGAAAATACAATGGAAAGGGCACAATGGAAGGGATGAGATAAGGACAGGGAGATCACTCACCAGTTATCATCATGGGAAAAACAGACAGCATAATGTTATTTATTACCTCCTGTTCCTCTTCCTTACTCTCTCCCCCTGCTTGATGTAGGGTCCCTCCCATGGATGCCGGCCTTCCTGAACTGATCCTGCATAGTGTTCCCACAGGCAGCAGCTCTTCAAGAACTGCTCCCACATGGCTCCGTACCATGGGGTCCATCCCCCCAGAGCAAACTGCTCCAGCATGGGGTCTGTATCACGGGCAGCAGCTCCCCCCAAACCCCTTGCTCCTGCGTGGGCTCCTCTCCACGGGCTGCAGCTCCGGCCCAGGGCCTGCTCCTGTGAGGGCTCTCCATGGGCTGCAGCCTCCTCCAGGCCACATCCACCTGCTCCACCAGGGGCTCCTCCATGGGCTGCAGCCATGTGGGATCTGCTCCATGTGGGACCCATGGGCTGCAGGGGGACAGCCTGCTCCACCAGGGGCCTCTCCATAGGCCGTAGGGGAACTGCTGCTGTGTGCCTGGAGCACCTCCTGCCCTCCTTCTGCAGTTCTTGGGGTCTGCAGGGCTGGTTCTTATTTCATGCTCTCCCAGCTGCTGTTGTGCAGCACATTTCCCCCCCCCCCCTTCTTAAATCTGCTCTCACAGAGGAGCAAACAACATTGCTTAGTGGCTCAGCTCTGGCCAGCAGCAGATCCAGGAGCTGGCTGGAGCTGGCTCTTATCTGACATGGGACAGCTGCTGAGCTCTGCTCACAGAGCCCACCCCTGCAGACCCCCACTACCAAAACCTTGCCATGTGAACGCAGCAGCCCAACCCATACATATGTCAGACCTAATGCTTTGAGACTTGCTACTTGTAGCCTTATTTTTGATATAAATCATTGTAGTTTACACCTTACTCTCTGAGCACATCACACCCACAGTCATTTGATGAATAAGTCATTCAAGAAGGAAAGGTACCAAGGAGGACATCATTAGAATGCCTGTTTATAAAAGCCTCTTCTTTATTCCACTTCAAACCTGTGCTGGTTGTAATCAGAGATTAAAAATGTGACAGCCCTGAAATATAGCTTCACTGGGCTGTGTGAATACCGCCTTAAAATCTGACAGCCATATGCACAAAGATTTGATTTAATTGTATTAACCAAAACCATGTAGGAACTTCAGCATATTCTGAAGTGGACTTTTATAAAAATTGTATTGGGTCTGACTCACTACAAAAATATATTTTTATTGTCATAACATTACAAGGTGTCTTTTATGTGTTGTTTTTTCTGAATGTTTTCATACATAGGACTTATTTCAGGGGAAAATCTAGTAGTCTGATTGCCTGAAGGATACACTTACAGTCTATGCTCTGCAGAGTGAAAATCTCTTTCTTGTCTCATGTTGTTTGCTCCAACAGTAATTTTATAGCAGGCTAGTAAGCCATATGGTAAGCAATGATGTTTTCCAGACACTCTAGCTAGTAGGAAACAGAGCTGCTAATGCCATTGAAACTGTGGTCTGTTTTTTTCTGGCTTTCCATAAACAAAATTTACAATCTCATTTCTTAGGAAAAACATTCCCTTATATTTCAACACTGTAACGTTTATGTCAGATTAAAACAAAACCAATAAAGTAAAGTAAAAAGAGAAAATATAAAATCTGTGCCTAAGAGACAGTGAATATCACTGTGACTTTATCTGTAGAAAATTTCCTGTGAAGTAAAATTAAAAAAAAAACAAAACAAAAAAAAAAAAAAAAAAACACTGTATTAACTACATCTTCAGAAAGGGATGGGCAGTTCTGAAAACAAACAAACAAACAAAAAAAACACCTCAGGAGTCTGTATTCTTCAAAGAAGCATGTTAAGGATCCCTAAAGTCCTTTCAGGAATTGCTTTCATGCTTCACAGATTCTCTCCCAGAATGGAGATTATATCATGGTGGATTTAACAGTCTTGGCAACTGAGGTCATTGGGAGTGAGGGAGTTTGTTAATTTGTTTCATTTGCCATAGTACTTAAGCACAGAAGTACTGCTAATTTCTTTACATTTTCATAGTCATGAATTCTACATGTTTCAAGCTCTACAGCATTCACACAAAACAAACAAATACAATATCAATATGCTTCATATGACAAATCCTCTTAGACAAGATAGAGACATCACTTTATGTTTAAATCTGCAATTCCTCCAACAGGTATGTGAGGCTTGTTCTTGCTTTTTCTTTGAGCTACAGAACTCTTGAGTGAAAGCTGCCACTTATGCATACTTTGATGCAAGTGTGAATCAAAGGTGGGGTTTTTTTGAACCTGAGTGAAAATATTGTATTGGTGTAATCCAACTGTTCATTTTCCATCCCTAACAAGGAAAAATGACAGGATGACACATATGCAATTGATTTTTGATTTAAGGACTCTGAATGAAAACTGACAGTTCTGGCTGTTTAAAACCAGAAAACCAGGGTAAAAGTGATCATTGCTACTGCATTTCATTAATTTGAAACCAAGAGAAATGTGACTTTGTAGTGAAAACCAAAAATTGATTGCATGGGAAATCCTGACATTTTAGGTGAAGAGATTTGGAAACACTGTCAAGTTATTTAAAATGGAACATTCTTCACTGGAAGTGGTTGATATTGTCAGTTCACTATCTTATATTTGAACAAAACTGACCTTCTTGTAGTATTGTTACACAAACCATTTATTAATATGAGTGGAGTTCATATCTTAATAAAAATAATAATAATAATAAAAAAGATTTAATTTAAAGTGGGGGCCACCACACTAAAATGTACTCCTGAAGTTTGCAGGCCAATCAGGTTGGCCTCAAATTCAGTGCAGGCATGAGAAGATATATGCTAGACTGTCTGTTTCAAAGAAACATCTCCAAAAGCATTTATTCCAGTTTTGTTGCTGGGGGGTTTGTTGCTTTTTTAAATTTTATTTTATTTCAAACTCAATAAAATTCAAGAAATAGAATGAATCCTCATTGCTTTAGAAGCTATGGTCATTGTTGATAGGAAATCTCACTGTACAATTAAGGAAAACATAATTCTAATTATTAGAGAAGCTGAAATCTGATTGTATAGAGACTTATAAAGTCAAATTCTAATGATTAGGGGGCCTTTAGAAATATTCCTGGACCATTTATTTGTTAGCTCAGAAAAGAAAGAAACAATAGCACATTCATGGCAATGATTAGAACTAATTAATTGCAGCTGCACTTAATGGGGTACGCTGCATTACTAATGGTTTTAGAATGAAATTTTAAAAAGAATATTAGAGATGCCAAGGCACTTTATATACATAAGTATAGAGTTAGTATGGCTATCCTCACAAAATAAAAAAGAATTAATTCTGTACAGGTCCTTTGTTGTTTTTATAAACTCGTGTTATCAACTAATGGAAATACAGTGATTCAATGGAATGGGCTCAGTCATGCACAGGGCTGTACAAAAAGGACTGTACAAACAGAACAAAAAGCCTTTGGCCAAAGAGCTCACACTTAAACATAGGAAGAGAGAGACAGCAAATGGATACAGGGAAGGAGGCAATGTAAGCCATATGTTGAAATACTCTTAGTGACTGACTATTGCTAACTGCTATATTTGCCCTCCAGACCAGGAGAGTTCTGAGAAAAGCCTGAAGGGTGTTCACATGGACAGCTCTTCCCAGGCATGAGGGAAAGTAGTGAAGGCAAGAAAGTGTTTGTTAAGGTGACATAAGTAGCTCCAGTCAATAGCAAAAATTCTGTCTGTATCCACAGGTACCTGAGGTGTTACTACTGGGCAGTTCGTACATTAATCACCATCGGTGGCCTTCCAGAACCACAAACCCTGTTTGAGATAGTTTTTCAACTGCTGAATTTTTTCTTGGGTGTCTTTGTCTTCTCCAGCTTAATTGGTCAGGTACATAAAGAAATCAATAACTACTTGTATTCAATGTACTATAATGTAGCACTGATATATTCAATTTTGTTCTGTTTAGTTCCAGGAAAAAGTTTACCTTCAACATGGATGTCCCTCTTTTTCATTGTCATCCATAGTTACTCTTCTGACTGCTGCATGCATTTAATCAGTTCCTGGTTTTGTAAGCCTTTCACACACAAGTTGATTTAAAGCCAAGTCTCTGCATGACACAGATAATTCTTAAATCTATGTACAATTCCTTTTTTCTTCTTCACAGCCAAGGAGGCAGTTCCTTAACATTCACACTCTACTGTTAAATCTGATATGAAAGTTATAATTGCAAGTATAATTATATTAATATGTACAAATTATCAAATAAATCATACTTAATACTACTGAGAATACAAATCGCAAGCTTTCTGTCAAACCAGAATTGAGATATCTTCCATAAGTTACAAAATATTTGTTGATTTGAAAATTGACTATTTTCTCTTTCTCTTGATTTTCATATAGCAAGAGGAAAAAAAAAAAAAAAAGCCTACCGCACAGCAAATCAGTTATACTTCCAAACAAATGGAACCCAGCATGGACTATTTCCAGCTTGTAGCTTGTTAACTATTAAATTTGGGCTTTAGGTCCACAGGTTTTAAAATACCTTGCCTACAGAAAAATAAAATGATTCTTATGTCAGGCTGTGTCTTGTGTTGGATTCATTTAGAAGTGATTCCAGAGCTTTTGATTTCTACGTGTCTGTTACTGGGAGAATTAATATGAAAAAGTAAAGATATTGGTGATTTTTTCTTTATGAGTTCAGAATGTGAAAAAAAGTTCAGCCAAAGTTAAAAAAATATATATGCCTCTCACAATTTAGAAGTGTGAGATACCCAATTATCATAGAACATTCTTTCCTATAAAATTTCAAATTCATCCACAAACAAGTATTACCAAAAATAAAACCAAAAATTACCAAAAACTGATTATTCATATAAAAGCTCTCTTCCCCAAATAGATTCGAGATTATCTTTTGGAACCAGGGTAGTCAATTGTGGAATCAAAACTTATTAATACACGAGCAGCTTCATTACATTTTGTTATAATTCCTGTTTACAAAAATATTTTAAACTTACTGAGTTATTCCCAATTTAGCATAACTGCCTAAAAATTGTTATTCCTCCAATCAATTGCCTTTCTGTAATAAGAAATAGAATTTACCTCAGTAGCATACTAATCCTTGGCCACTGCAGTGTGAAGCTGTTCTACTAAAAACAAACTACATTTGTGTTGAAATTTTAAATGATGTTCCTGCACTAAAGTCTTCAAGGTCAACTTTCAGCCCAAAGTGGATTTTTAGGACTGATCTAGCTTCAATTTAAACAGTGTCAGGATCTTAGCTCTATTGGTGCCAGCTGATGTTATTACAGAAATTTAGCCTGGTTTGCTTCATTTCTGACTTGCATGGCACAACAAATGCACAGTAGCTTTATTATAGATGTTTACAAAAGCATTATCTGTATTTTTCATGCAACTACAGAAATAAAAGACAGAAGAGCAAGCTGAAAAATACAAATGATTCCTTTAAAAATAAAAAATATAGACTGTTTCTTACACAGTTAAGTTTTATCTTTAATGTTTCTGAAAAAGCAGATGAAGGAACTATTCAAAACATGGAGTCGAATGCATAATTAATCAGCAATTTTGTAAACAAGAGTTTTATCCTTTTTTTTTTTTTAATGTCATTGACAAGATACTCAAATCATGACTATTTTTCCTGAAATGTGTAGTAATCTGTAAACTGATGTTTGCAGATGAGAGATGTAATCGGAGCAGCTACAGCAGGACAGAACTACTACCGATCCTGTATGGACAACACTGTCTCCTATATGAACACTTACTCCATTCCAAAAGTGGTTCAAAATCGTGTTCGAACCTGGTATGAATACACATGGGACTCTCAGGGAATGCTGGGTAAGGCTTTCCAATTCCAGTTACACAGAAGCTCAAAAAGAGAGTGTTCTGTACAGATATAGCTATAAGCTGAAAGGCACATTTCTTCTTTTCTGAATTTCATAGGAGAGAGCAAGAGGAGGGTATTCCATTTCCTTTAGAAAAGCAAAAAACCCCAAAGCAATACAACGCTTCACAATTTCTATTACTTTATGTAAAGTTCTGGTTATATCTTTAGACGAGATATGCAACTTAAAAGACAATTTTTTCTGGTTAGCATATTAGCATCTTCCTCATTTGAACTAATAAATGCTAGAATTACTCCACTAAGTTGTTTTTCTATGCAATGCTCATTCTTATAGACTTTCTTTCATTATTCTTTTATAGTTTCCCACTAATCAGGTTTTCATTTTTCTTTTTTTAATTTCTGTTACAGATGAATCAGAATTACTGGAGCAGATGCCAACCAAAATGCAATTAGCCATTGCAATTGATGTGAACTTTGCAATTGTCAATAAAGTTGACTTATTCAAAGCAAGTACCTTTACTGAAGAATGCAGCAATGTGTGGTATTTGTGAGACAGAAACCTTGTTTTGTGCATCTTGCCACACTTAAGAACGTATTTGTTAATATTCAAGGCAAAATAAGTCTAAGAAATATCTAAGTCAGTGGGGACAAGTCAGGACAAAGACAAGTACCTGCCTTTTTTGTGTTAAATCAGAGATTAAAAAAAAAAAAAAAAAAAAAAAAAAAAGTGAATGAGATTAAGAAACAGTCCTGTTATACCAACATATTAAAGCTGATGGTCAGACTGTCAGATTCTAGAGTATAACTAATCTCTAGAGCCAAATTTAGAAGAATATCGCTTTTAGTACAGATCACCTTGCTGTCTACTGCCTAGCACTGCCTGAGAGATCATGGTTACTATTTGTTCTGGGAACACAGCTTTGATGTAGTGAATGTTATTTTTAGTAGCTTTTTGTTCAAAGGAGCTTTCTTATCATTATCATGATAGGTTTCAAGAGAGATTATTTAAATGTGGTACTTAAGATTGGACATTTTACATCAAAAATGGGGAGACATTGCATTTTTAGAAGTAGTCATGAAATACATTGAGCTTAACCATTTTTAGGACAGTTGCAAGAAATCAGGGTGTCTGTGTTTAAACATTACATAGTTCCAATGTTTCTGCAACATTCGCTAAAGACTTGGAATTCATAGAATCATAAAAAGAATTTGACCTGCTTTTTTTCCCCTGGGTCAGTATAAAAATCATCTAAAAGACCTATAACACAGGAAAAAAGCACTGAACATCGTAGATGTACAGAAGCTCACTCCATTAAAAAAATATATATATTAAAAAATTGCTCAACCCAAGGAGAATATTATACGTATCTGAAATGACATTTCCTTCAATAATTTCTCTCTTTTAAAAGCTGTCCCTTACTATGTTTTCATTTTTCATTCCACTTATGAACCCCTGGATCACTATTGTATTAACTTGCTGCCCAGTGTATGCACTAATAGTCACTTGTGTTACTAAATCAATACAGAACAATTCTACTTAATTTTAACAGGGCTGTGATACTCAGATGATATATGACATGCTGCTAAGGTTGAAATCCATTGTGTATTTACCTGGTGACTTTGTCTGCAAAAAGGTGAGCATTTCTGTCTCTTTCAAACAATAAATATAATATGTATTTTAGAAAAAAAAAAAAAAAAAAAAAGAGTTCAGACATAGGTCAATAGTATTCTTTAAATAAAATTAATCCTGAGTGAATTAGATAGCATAAAAATAATTAAGGTATTCTATGTAATAACAACAAATTTGCTCTCATGTTTCAACACAGAACAAGACAATATGGGTTTTATTACTTATATTAGCAAACAAAATTATAATAGTATGGGAAAGTATTTAATGTAAATATGGCTTATCTAGGGACACATCATGAAGTTTGAATATTGAAAATGGAGCAAGCTTAATTTTTTATACATATATACATACAAACCTACCCTACAGATCTCAATCCATGATGCTTTGCATGTGTTTCATTTGTGTATTCAGAAATACTGGAGTGGAATTACTCAGGAATGTAAATAACCCATATTGCTCCTTACAGCAGGATCTGATCTTGCTTTGCCTTCACTCTGAGCCTGGAACCATCTCCAGCTGAATGCTGACACACTGTCCCATAGCTATGAAGTGTCTTCTCTTTGCATTTTAGCTCAAACTTGGTCTTACAGCAGCACAAGTAGATAGCTTGTCTTCTGTCCAAATAAGCCCAAGTCTATTTTCAAAGGTTTGTTACCATACTCATAGGCTCTGCTGGATGTAATTAAAGCATGGGGGTAAAGTAGCAGTGCTGTTAGTGTTCTTTTAAGTGACCCACACTTCACAGCACAGACCATCAGAACTCCTTAACTTAGCTTTAGCCTGATCTGGTCTAGTTCTGGTCACAAAGGTCCTGCTCCCTCAAGGAGCTGAGGAAGGTGGAAGGTGTGGGAGGTGTCCCTGCCCGTGCAGGGGAGTTGAATTAGATGACTGATCTTTCAGGTCCCTTCCAACCCAAACCATTCTGTGATTCCATGATTCTATGCTGTGAACCTCTTTCTGAATGCTGAGGTAGTTCCACCAGTTCCACAATGCAGGAAGTTATTTGTGAATGCACTGAAGGATCAGGTGTGTCCCTTGAAAAACCAATCCCAGAATTACTGATTGCTAGGCAGGATGGGAGAGTAATTTGCTTGCACAAAACACAGCATAAGAGGATCTTGGACTGTGGCTGGGACTCTGCCACAGCATGTATAATAAATGACAGTAACAGGTTCTAGGTCTTGATCCTGCAGTCAGATAAAAGCAGTTCTAAACAAGGATGGGTTACAAAAAATGGGAGTACCATTTTATTCCAGACAGATTCAGAGCACTGAGGACGCTCACTTATATAGATCTACAATGTGGCCAACAACCATGGTAGTCCCACTAACACTGTATTTTTTAGCAAGGAATAAAACCCTGTTGGAACCTGAGAACTGGGAGTACCTCCTACCTGGGTGTGCCTCATCATACCTTACCAAAGAGGCTCCAGCATGCAGGTTTTGAAAACCAGATTAAGGGAAAGGAAGTACAAACCCTACATTTTGAATCCTAGCTTTGTTGCTGCTGCATTTTTGCTTTTAAAATGAAATGGTTGTTTTTCTTCAGTTAGTCCAGCAGCACAAATGGAAAAATATTTATTTTCCCATTACTGAGATGTTGTAAGGACAGTTATGATTATGTTTGTGACGTCCCTTCTATTATTCCAGTTTGCCTGCTTTTCATCCTATATACTGATATCATGCGTTTTAATCTCATGAGGTCTTGTGGAGGATAAATAAGTGAACTAATAATCTCAAGCCATCCAGTGATTACATCAAAGTAGACAAAGTTTTGAGTGATTTTTTATTCTTATTTTCCTTGTAAGTTAGATAAGTGAAGATTAGAATTAATGGAGTGAAAACTGAAACTTTTTAAACCATGAAGCACAGGGGTTTTCACACTTCTGCTATTGAATGTTCTGCTGAATTACTTTAGTTTCTACCTGGATACTTGATGGAAATGACTGATATAATCTTGTTTATTATCTAGTCTTCATTTTTCAAGCTGGCCTGGATAGTCTTAATTCTACTCAAATATTGCCTCACATCACAATTAGATCTGCCAAAGTCAGTCCTTGCACTTGTGTTCAGTGCTAGAAAAAGTGGGACAAAAATTAGTTTCTCTATAATAATGGCAAAACAGTGTATAAGAACAAGGAAATATATTTAAATGGAAGTTTTTCAGATTATTCTACGTCAAAAAATTAGATTGTTATATGTTTCTGTGTCCAGGGAGAGATTGGCAGAGAGATGTACATCATCAAGCAAGGTGAAGTTCAAGTCCTTGGAGGTCCTGATGGTACAAAAGTCCTGGTTACACTAAGAGCAGGAGCTGTATTTGGGGAGATCAGGTAGGTCCATCACTATTTTTAACACTTCCTTTAGAACTGGTCAAATAATCAATGTTTTATAATAAATAATTAACTGGTTAAATAATCAATTTAACTTCTCTTGTAAGCATTGGGAGGCTGGAAAGTTGGGCAAGATCAGCCAAGAAGACAGTGAGCAAAGAGATATAAGTAAGTGAAGGAAAAACTAAGTAAATGAAAACTCGGAGACTAATCTGGCAAGAGCTGAGCCTTCTAAACAACAAATAATGTATAATCAGTGTTTTGGGAAATGTTCATAGGGATATACAGATGGACTTCTCCTTCAGCATTTAAAAGATTTAATGCATCTTCCTGTTGCAAGGTCTGCAATAGGGCAGGACTAAATGTATTTTATTGTCTGTATAGTGCCACTAAGTGTCCTTACAGAGCAGATAGTAAAAATGATAATTTCCAACAAAGGAGATAAAAAATCTGAAATCACAAACCAGAGTGGTTCTTGAGGCGCTAAAGTAGGGATTAAGTTGCCAAAAGTCATCATCTGCATTTTAAAACATATTTGTTTAAGAGCATGCATAAGAGAAAAAGGCTGACAGATCAGGTTTTGGGGTCTAAGTTTCGCCATAAAAGAAAATTTTTCTCAGATGGCTACAAATGTTTTTTATATTCTCCACATAGCTGCTATGTGGAGAGTTGCAATCCATTAACTCTTATGTGTCTTGTTCACCAATTAACCAACCAAGTGCTTAGATTTTAGGCATTACATCCCCTGCTGAGGTTGGCCTAAAGAAAAGTAATAAAATGCATGTGCTCCTGCATGTGATAAACTGGATTCTTGATTTCTTCCAGCTGCCTTCCTGTTATTGTTAATCCTCTTGCTGGTAGCTTCAATCTGTCTTTTGAGAAGTGGCAATTAGCTCTATGCTAGGTTTACATTTATCTTCTACTGCGTCTCCCTTTGTGGCAGTGGAAACATTCCCATTTATTCAGTGATGGGTGTAGAGGACTGGCTGAGACCTGCACATGAAAAACACCTGATATATCCCACAGATACAGGCATTTCTCATTGAGTGGAAAAGTGAGATTGTATCAGCTCTTCACATGAAGGTTATTTTAAAGGTATTTCTCTGTGTGGCAATACAATACCAAAACAAAACCTCAAAACAAACTGCTGGAAAGACTGAGAACGCACTGATTTTCAGGAAGGGCCAGACACTGAAAAGATAAAGGAAAAAAGCTGCAGCAGCCCAGATATGTAACTCTCACCTAGTTTTTCAATTATTTATTAGTTTTGCATTTGGAGCAAGGACTTTTTTTTTTTTTTTTAAACTGAAAAATGTTAGTCATTGAAAATCCTTTCCTTGTTTTCAAACCAATGTTTTGATCTAATAAAAGTGAGTACTCATTTCCATATGAGAACTACACAGCTGCCTTTTAAGATGCATTTCCTGATATATTTTACTTTTCATGTAATTGCCAGCAAAACCCTCAGCAATGCTCTAACCCTACACTCCTGGTCTTGTTTTATTCATTATTGACCTACTGCGTTGGTGGAGACAGCACACTGGTACAGACACAGCTACTTTGCATATAAATGACAGGTAGTGGATAAACTCAAGGAGAAAATATATAGGAACTGGCAGACAACTCCAAACTTGGAAAGCAAAGACATGAAGCACTAAGTATATCACCAGAGATTTATCCGTTTCCTTGTGGCGATGTGTTAGAAAATAATGAGTTTGTATAGCACCCCTCTTTGTAAGTTTTGTCGAGGTCTTCTGAGTATTGTATAGCCAAAGAAAACGGAAGAAAAAAAGTATTTAATAGATGAGGTATTGCTTCATTTAGCACAATCACACTATGAATGCTGAGGGGAAAACTTGTTTAGCACATGGTATTGGACCGTCACGGCTTTCCTTCTGATGTTTGGATCAAGATTTGTTTAGAGAATTGTGTCAGCTTCATGAGATACTTGCTATTTAACCTCACTGTTCAAAATGCACATAAATCGTGCTTATAAAGCCTTCTTGGTCAAAGGAGTTGAAGAAAACAAAGAATGTTCATTCATTTCAAAAAAAAAAAAAATCCTGAATTATACTAGGAGGCCAATCCAATGCAAGACTAATGTTCAAGCCAGTCCTTTGCCAATTCCATCCTCCAAAATTGTTACAGAAACAGATTAAGTAATAGGAGCTACTTTCCAATTAACATCTTACCCTCATTACTACTTTCCTGTATAGATAATATCAGTTTGGGGAAGCAAAATAATCTCAGAAACAGAGGCAAACATTTATTTATTTTTTTTGCCTTGCTGACTTAATGAGAGCCTGTCTTTACAGGCAATTGAGAAAGAGAGAAATTCAAGACAGGGAAACTATAACACAACACTTCATTAGCCCAGACAAGTTTACACTTTAAGCCAGATGTCCTCATTCATTCATTCAATGTTATTTCACTAGAACAATTTCCTATCAGAAAATGGTAATTCTGGAAAAACTAAAGCATTTTTGACAGGAAGAGCTCTAAATGTTTGGTCTCATCTTTAGCCTTTCAGTGGTTTTTGTAACTTAAACTTTTAAAATAAAAGTCAAAGCTAAAAAGAATATTTAGCTTTGTGAAAGTTTAAGTTTTCTGCTTTGGCCCAGCAGCAGCTGCTGCTTTTCAGTGAGCTCTGCCATTTGGTGTTTGACATTCTTCTCAGAAGCCAGATCCAGACCCTTTCCTAACTTACCAGTTCTTTCCTTATGCAGGCTGAGGAGCCATCACCCTGCAATGGTGATATGCACACCATTCCCTGGATCAATTTGCTCATTTCAATGAATGGCAGCTTGCTATTGAGATCAGCTATAAAAGAGGAGTAGATAAGCTGAGTCATCACTTTGACAACTTCATAACTCTAAATTAAAGTTTGCTATCATAAGAATTCAGAAGTTATCTCATACAAGTATAAAAACATTTCAGACTAACTGCAGTAAAAAATGCAAGGTGAAAATGCAATTTTCTTTATTATTATAGATATTATAGCATCAAGAGCCATTGTAAGGCAAATGCCAGTTATCTTTAAAGATTTAGCCTATCAAATAACTCTTAGCACACTAGCCAAAAAAGGTTGAGTCATGAAGCCCATAATGCTGCCTTTAGTCAAAGATGATTCTGTTTGAGCCTCCCCTGTAAAATTCACCTCACATCATCACCATAATGAAAAAGCCGATCTCTTTAGTCCTAGTCTGCCTCGATAAAATGAGGTTGTTGTTAGGAAAGCCTGAAAATGATTGTTCAATGACTTGTTGAGATGCAATTCATCAGAACTCAAAAGCTGTTTGCAATTTTCTTCAGCTGCTTTTCTTATTGTGCAAATACTTTTTTTCCTACAAAATAGTACACAATTGTTTAAAAAGACAATATACTGCATTTTCAGCTTGACTTCATATATTGATTGTTATCTTGGATCAAAGAAAAACTGTGAATATGTATGTAAAAATAGCCTTGTACACACAGTTACAAATAAAGGATCACAAGACCTCTGCATAACCTAGTATTTATAAATGCTACATACATATCCTTTATACTTAGAAACTATTAATATATACCAATTAATATTGAGGGTAAAGTATTAGTTCACCCTTGATAGGGTCCCAATTAGCCTTTATTAATGACCTTTAAATTTAGATATTATTATTCTTCATAAATAGTAACTCACAGGGAAACATTTAAGGGACAAATTTCTAGGGTAAATCTCCTCAAATATTGATAAAGAAATTTTACTACTGAGAGCAAAATGCAGCTTCCCTTGCTTATCACCACAGCTGAAAAATGAATTCTTTTAATCTGAGAAATGAATTATTTTAATTTTGTAACACCTTACTTTCAAAACAAAATAGCCGCCTTTTTCAGGCAGACACATCTGTAACTGTCAGCCTGAAAGACCTTCCTAATCCTTTTCATTCAGCTTGCCAACATCCAAATGTGAGATGTGATATGTGGGACAAAAGAGAGACCAACAGAAGTTATTCACTTAGGAAAATTATAATTCTTAGAGTCATTTTTGTAAATAATGCTTTGAGTAATAATGGACTTGTTCTGCTCTCCTTATGGTGTTAAATCACTTCCAGCAATAAAAATGAGGAAATGCCAAGTTCTCACACAGACTAAAACAAATTCAGTCCTTGCAGTAGTGCCTGCTGGGTGTCTACCCAGCAAGACTTTTCTCAGTCCTTAGGACAAGCACAATAACAACCAGAAGTGACAATTTGCCTTCTTGCAGCATCAGCCAGAACAGTTGGGTACATAAGTGAGCTTTGCAATGACTTCAGTGGAGAGCCACCAGCAAAGATATTCCTGACTAGGGCAAGTAATGAAGTAACTGACAATATTTATTTTCATTGCAGCCTATTAGCTGCAGGCGGAGGAAATCGAAGGACTGCCAACGTGGTGGCTCATGGTTTTGCCAACCTTTTCATTCTAGACAAGAAAACACTCAACGAAATCCTGGTACACTATCCTGACTCAGAAAAACTTCTGATGAAGAAAGCAAAGTATGTCCTAATAACAGTTTCTAAATCACATTGTTTAGCTGCAGAACAGACAGTTGTGGCTTCTAGAAACATTTGCATTTCTTGGAAGAACAACAAATATACGCATGTTTGTACTTAGGGGTCAGATTTGTCTGGTAATACTTAACAGAAGTCATAGTCTTGGCAGGTAATCCGAGAGTTATGGGAACATGGTAAATAGAATAAAGTCCTGAACACAGTTGAATTCTCCCTTGTACTTAAGGTAACAAAATAGGAGATAACAGATGAACATCAGGACTCCTTAGGTAGCCAAGGCAAACAGAGTGCAAGACAGATGCCAGTTAAGCCGTATGTTTTCAAGGGTACAACTGAAGATCTGCAATTGATTCTAAAGAGATATGCTTCAATGCACCCACAGAGTCATATGCCTTTCCAAAGTCTCAAAGAGCAGTTAGAAATGGATTTAATGTAAGGCCTGAAAAGATGAAAGATAATCGCACAGATTTGAAAGGTGTGCATTTTGTGCAAAGGGATTCTGAAATGGGATTCTGAACAGAAACTGCTTCTCATCTTGCTTTGGCTGTAGCTTGCTAGGATCACAGTTTATCCTAGCTTTGACAGGGCAAAATGTGGTCATATTTTGTCATAAGATTATAGAAGTGAGTACCTTGCATCAGGTTGAAGTGCATAAATCAGTTTGTCTTTACCAGTAGACTTCAGCACTTGTATTGTTCTTAGCTGTTGCTTTGCATTGGTATCAAAGTTTGGAAGAACGATCCCAGACTTGAAATTCCACCAGAGAATGCTAGCATAGGCATGACATTTTGCTCATGAAAGTGCTAGCAAATGATTGCATTCAGCTTGTTTCAGCAACTCTGGTTATCAAATGACAGCACCTTGCAAATCATTACATCCCTGAGAAACACAGGACCTAATGCAGAATGGGCCATCTGAAAAGCATAAGTGTCAAATCTGCAGGAAATTTCCCCAAATGGTCTGTTGAACTCTTGTCCATGGCACTCCCAGCTCATAAGATAAGGTAGAACAAGAATAAAAGGAAACCTGAATCTGAACATTTATATTGGACAGTATAAAAAGTTTACTAGCCAAAAACATTGAAGAGTTCAAATTCTATCTAAGTCAAGCAGGATGTGCCAGCCAGCCAGTCACTGGGGACAGCCTATGACGGTAATGAATGTTGAAAAAAGCAAAAGTCTCTCGACAGCTCTGGAATCTAGATTTACTGAAGACCAGCAGCATACATACTTGGCTTCCATACTCGGTGACAGACCCCTGAATAGTCTGATGTGATGCCCATGGCACCAAACAATGCAGACACACATCTTGCTCACCTGTTTTCACATCTGGAATCTTCAGAGAGGCTGGTTGTCAAAACCAGCACCAGAAGGTAGAAAGGCAGAACAAATCCACTGACTGATGGTCACCAGCAATCACCTTTCTGACTTCCATCGTCTTTCTAAACAATGGTACAATCATCAAAACTTATTTCTGATTCTCTGTCCTACACTACCTCCTCCTGCTTTCTTGCCCACCCTAACCTAACCTGTGAGAGATGTGCCATGCTGAAAGGCTGGTTTACTATTACTTACACAAGCATCAGCTAAATTCCAAATAGAGAAATAACTGTTCTCGATTTGCATCTAGAAGGTCAGGTAGGAGACTTCCACCTCAGGTGCAAGCCATCCACCCCCCTCAACTATTTCTCACCTTACTAAGCTCTCATCTGCTTTGTGATACCTTAATTTGAGCCTGCACTAGTTTAGACTACAGCAAATAGAAAAAAACCTCCAAATTAGAATAGCAGACTGCAGTTTACTAAGTGATGCCAAAGCCAGTAAAACCCTTACCCTTATCAGCTTTGCTCTTGCCACTACATCTGGGATTAAAAAAAAAAAAGGCTGGAAAAGGTGTCAGGTTTTCATCCATGAATGTGGCATTTTGGTTTTGCAGGAACTTTTATAGGTTTCACTGCACTGCCGTGTGTTCTCATTCTTTCCTGTCTCCAGGGTGCTGCTGAAGGAGAAGGGGAAACCTGCTCCTGGACCACCAGTGCAACAACCACGGGGCTTGGCTGGTCTGTTTGGGCAGAAACAGGAAACTCCAAAATTGTTTAAAGCGATGCTTGGAGGTAAAGGAAAAGCAGGTCTTGCCAAACTGCTGCAGCTGAAGAGAGAACGAGACATTCAGGTAACACCACAGAAAACAGAATAGATTCTTTTAAGTGCTGAAGAGAGAAATGGGAAATATTCTGGGAGGGCTTGGGCAAACAGAATAAATAAAAATGTAGTTTTACTGCAATCAACAGCAGAAATTCCCAGTAGCTGAGATATAATCACGGTATTTAATCTCTGTAAACACTGATTCTAAAATTTGGCTCAAATCTTCCTGGATCTGGACTCTATGCAGAACAGAGAAAAACAAAAGCAAAGCAAAGAAAGCAAACAAAGATCCTCTAGGAAAGCAAGAATAAAATAGACCTTGCGAAGACACTAAAAGCATCTGATCTTCTAATCTTATGTAAAGAACAGTAAATGTAGGCATATCCTAACACAGTAATCTGCTCCAGCTGACTCAAGCACACAGCGAACTTTCCAATTCAAAGTCAGAACTGTGCTTATAACAAATACTGAGGACAAAATTTCAAGTTAAGACCACACAGCTAAATCTGATTAAATATGTAATATAGTACACTTATGAGAAAATTTGTTTCAGTTGATTAAAAGTAATTCCCACATTATACTCTCTTCTGAGAAACATTCATATTAGTAAGAACCTGCTCAGTTCTAAATTCTTGCCCAGAGGTGGCAGAATCTTTTTCTGGCTTTTATGGTTGAGTTGGATATCTTTATACTTTCCTTCTTATAAGTGAAATAATGAACTTGCTTAAATTAATTATAACAATAGCATGATTGAAGCATAAAATTCACTAAATTTAATGTGTATTTATGAACTTTAAAGTAAATAGGCTTGGACGAGGAATTGGGGCACTGGGGAATATGTTGAGATTTACATAACACATTTTCTTTCTATACTAGAATAAGTACATAAAGCAAGGTAAAATTTGAGGAAAGGTGGTGTGCCCCGAAATGTGCCTGTTTCGTCCTGCAGTATTCATGAGAAGCAGATACTATCAGTATCCACAAGCTTTTCCTGGGTTTTATTGTTGACATTCTGATCTTGAAATAGCATTTTCCACAAAATTTTTGGTTGCTGAATGCAGGCTTACATACATTGCATGCCATTAATTACAGCATCCCTGCTGTGCCTTACCACTGCATATACAGAACTACTTCCCAATTTTTTTCTGCAGCACTAGAAAACATTTAATTTCTTGATTCTAGGAAAATGAAGCTGAAACAGAGAAACCTAAACAAGAAGAGAAGAAACCCGAACCAGAGGAGAAGAAACCTGAACAAGAGAAGAAACCCCCTGAGCCTGCAGCCTCATCTGCACCCCCTGCACAAAAGGAAGAGCCAAATGCAGATGCTAAGCCTAAACCACCTGCAGTTATGCACAGAGGAACCACTAATGAGTCTCTGATCATTAGTATGTCTCCATCACCTACAGCAGGAGAAGGAGAGATCCTTAAAGTTGAAGCTAAAGAGAAGAAAAGGAAATAGATGGTGCTTTGGGCTGTGTTTTTTCTGAATTCGGAGGGCTAGTGTGACTTGGCTTTTGGGTACAAAATATAAAAGTAGAGGCTACTCAAGAAAGAACCTATCCCAGCTCCTCTTCTTCTTTCTGTCCTCTCCTGAGGCATCTGGGCAGATTTGTATACCTACCTCTGAACCTTGAGCCTGAAGAGAGAACTCCTGCTGTAATAGGAATTAGAGATCCAACTGGGTTTCAGTACAGCTTGTTTCTTGGTTGATCCATGCTCTCCATTCTCTCTTACTCCGTCTTGTTCCTGCTTCTCCTTTTCCCTCTCCTATTTATTCTTTCTTTCTTATTGTTTTTCATGGTTGCCAGTTTGTTCTTAATTTTCATGTCTGTTCTTTTCTATTTTCTTTTCTGGTTTCCCATAGTTGTCCTTTTTCTTGTTACTGCACTACTGTTGCTGAGGTTACTTATGTTTCTGTCAATCTTTCTCTCTCCTCCCCTTATACTTCTAATCAGTGACATGCTTTTGTGATCAGTATGGCTGAGTGCAGAAAGCTATGATGTTGCATGTTCAGATGCCATTAAAAATTGTTTAGAAAAAAAAGCAAAATAAAAAATATTCACAACATACACAACGGGGAAGCAGATTACATAAATACTGCCAACTTGTGAAAGCAAAAGCATTTGTTCTAGCTGTCTTTATCGATTCTGGTGAATAAAAATAGAGAAGATATTCTCCCTTAAGAGTGACCTTTAACTTTTGGTTGCTGATTTACACATTTCATCTTCTCAAGGGATTGGGCATTAATCTCTCTCTCTAAAAAGCAAGCAGTTGCTACAGGCATACTTTAGAAAAATGTCCTACTTAGTGGCCACTTCAGAAACAAAGGTATTTTAAAAAAAGCAGGATTTACGTTTCTGGCTCTGGCTCTTTTTCTCCAACCAACAGGTTGGCTGCTCCAGTTGTTCACTTCCATCACAGCCTGATGATACCAAGCAAACTACATGCCTTACAGGGGCTGAGCTTTATCATACCTATGAACTAAAGTAAATCCTTTATCCAGTGCAGCAGTTGAGAGGGCTAAAGCTTTTTTAACAAGGAGCTGCACACAACTACCTTAAAAAAAAAAAAAAAAAAAAAAAAGTTCCTCAGCTGACCAGCCAGCCAATATATACGAAAAATATTGTGCCAAAATGAGGCCTTTTGAACCCTTTGCAGGCTATATACGTTCCTGTAGGCTACACATTCTGTTAGGCCTGCTCTATAATGCCTTTGAACTTCTCCAATCATATGCAAAGCTGGCAGCCCAACCAGAATCTGCAGAAGCTTTGCCCGGGTAAAGCCTTGATGACTTATTCAACATGCTGCATATTCCAAACGTTCTGTGACACAGCTGATAGCCATATCTCTCTCTCAAAAAAAGTTCCGTCATTAACAGTGAGGTCAAAGGCTCACTACCATATGGGAAGAACCATCGTTATTTGTGTATCACTTTCTATTTGATACGTAAGAAAAAAAGATGCATCTTACCTCTTTCTGCTGCATGACATCATAAAGAACTGTTTGCCTATTGCACATCCAGGAGTATCTCTGTACAATATCAAAATTAGAAATACTGCTAAACTACTCCACAAGTAAGGCCTTCTGTGAATAGTAAGGATCTACAAATTCATTACAATACATGGTTCTTCTTACAACACTTTTTGAGGGACAATTTTCAAAACATTATGGAAGGGGGGGAAGCACATAAGCCCCCATATTTTAACATGTTGGTATTGATGAGTAAAGTTCTCACTGCAGAAGATCTAACCCCCTTCTGCCTACACAAATGCTGTCACATCTTCAAAACAAACATTTCCACTGTTGGCATACTGAAGTTCATCAATCACATACTGACATATATTATAAAAGTAAGGTCTGAAACTTCAGCATTGTTACACTGCAGCAACACAGCATCTCTCACGTTGCTGCTTTACTACAGTTCTTCACAGCTTAGGATTGCAAGGGAAGCTTGTCAGTTCTGGCTTCAAAATTATCCAGTCATGCAAAGCCCTCGAGTTCCTTAGATCCAAAATGAAACAAAAAAGGGTTAGAGCATTAGGTCAAGATTTCGTTAAGTGACAGACATCAGGGTCTTCTCTGACATCTTTCTTTTCTGTTGTTGAATCCCTTCCCAGAATCCCTCCATTTTGGAGAGTGGCGAGGGGCCAAAGCTCAACTATTTGTAAGGTTTTCACCAGAAGGAACAACACGCAGCACAAGAAACCTCAAGACATGCTCCTTGTGTAAAATGCATTACTTTCAGAACCTGATTTTACCCTGTGGATTCTTAATTTGTGGAGAAATCGAGTGAACTGCTCTAGAGCACCTACATGATGCATCTTTCAGCAAAGCTCACTCAGGTTCTGTATGGCATAGCAAACACACCATGCAATGTTATGTCTCTAGTATGTCTCAGTTTCCCAATAAAGCATCTCAGACTTGACTACACCTCAAGAAACCATTAATGGTAAAGGGATGAAATATAAAATAAATCTTCATGCCTTTCTACTTAAAATGCACATTTCCTGTAAAGAAAAAAAAAAAAAACGCGCCCTGGAAAAACTGATGACAAGTATATGGAATAGCATCAATAGGGGAACTCTAACACAGCAAAGAGGATGAAAGACTCACTGCTAAAACCATCCAATTTCAAAATATCTTGATAAAAGCCAGTATGTTATGCTTTATGAAATACACAGTGTACGTTCACAACCACTGAGTAAAAATCTAATCTGATAATACTTGTTATATATCTAAGCTGCTTAGCCTGTGGAACCATCATCATAGTAACTGCAAAAGCAGTGTTCATTGTTTCATGGAAAATGCTGAATACAAAAACATGACAGAAGAGCAGTGTCCTGAAATTACAGTTTTAATGCATAGGCATTGTAAATCAGTCAACTTCTGAACTGAAATACATACAGAAAGTACTTAAAAAAAAAAACTCTGGTCACGGGTTATTTCTCTGCTGTACATGTATATATATTAAGACATTACATTGCAAAAAGCTTGATTATGAAGACTGCTATACATCATTTCTGTCACAAGGTGGTGCAAGTGACCTACAAGCACATTCACTTGACAAACTTTGACAATATTTTGCTTGACACGCTCAAGCTGGTAAGGCATTTTTTGCATGTACAA